GGGTAGTAAAACAGCCCTGCAAGGGTAACAGACCCATATGGGGCCATTGGGTAGAAGAGCTGGGGTGTGGCTTCAGACTGTCTCCTCTACATGGTTCCCTCTGTGCAAGGAAGGGTCTGTTAGCATCTCTGGTCCCTTGAATTCATGAAATACCCATAGGCTTCCTAGCAGATGTTATGTAGGTGGTATTCCTTGCCTTCATCTTGTTTTTATGTCTCAATTTGTTCTCGCAGATATTAATATTTTGTAGTGGACTTAGGCTTACCTTTGGAACATGTTTTGTTCATTTTTAATATTTGCAAATTTCTAAATTTGCTCCTCTCTCATATGTTACATTCTGACCACAGTCTCCCCTCCCTCCAACCCCTCTCACCCACCCCACCTCCCCTGCCCCCCAGGCCTCCCAGGGATATCAACCAAACACAGCATAGCAAGGTACAAGAAGAGGAGGCCGGAACCCTCATATCAAGGCTGGACTAGGCAATCCAGCAGGAGGAAGAGGGTCCCCAGATTAGACGAAAGGGTCAGTGACACCACCATCCCCACTGTTAGGGGTCCCAGAAGAACCCCAAGCTACACAACCATAGCATATACGCCGAGGGATTAGTATTTGCAAAATGTTAAGACGTTGGCACGCTGTCATTTAGCAATATTTCCTAAGTAACCGCAAATCTGATTTTCATAAGGCAGGGAAAGATGTACAGTGCAAAATGTTGTTAATTGCACAATTCATCACAGTGGTTGGGAGTGCATCTTGTTTACAGTGTGGTTTGGCTCAATTCTTTCTGTTCTTTTACTAATGATTATCTTCATTTCTAAGTTTCTGGGCATTTGTGATTGATTAACAAAACAAAACAAAACAAAACAACTATGCAGCCAGTAGACCTTCCAGCATCCTTGGGATTTGGTTGTGGTAGCCTATGTGTATTTAAACATTTACATTGACTGTGGTTTGTTTTTGTGTGTTTTGTGGCTTGTCTATAGCTGTAGCGTTGTTATCAAAATACAGATTTCAAACAAAGGGACAGAGGATGAATAATTTATTAGGGCTTTGATTCAAAAGAAACAGAATGTATTTGATTTCGAATAGAAGTTCCCAAATAAAAGCAATGCCCATGCTTCTAGGCATGCCTCTGACTTAGTTGGTCTAGATGGAGTGATGCTGAGGCTCCGAGCTGCATCTCTATGACTGTCTTGGCCTTTCCCTTGGGATTGTAAGACACTGTGGCAGTTCCGAGCCAGCGTCTTCACGAATCAACTTTGAAGGCAGGAAAGGTGCAGAGGGCCTGAGGAAGGGTTTCACTCTCAATAACCTTTCTCCTTTTTTTAATGAAGAATGGCCTTTCTGAGGACACTCACCGACAGACTTTGCCTCTCAGAACTCAGCTGGGCTAAGGGGCTATCCTTGACTCAGCTATCAACGGACACACAGATCGTTACTGCAGCGGGTGCGTCTTAGCCCCTACCAGAAACTGCAGTTCTGTTATTGGGGAAAAAGAGAGACTAGCTATCGGACAGGCAATTAGTAATGTCCCCTTCCATTGTTGATCGCTAGGTACCATTACAAAACAGTGCACATGCGTGTAGAAATGCCCCAGTAAAGCCTACTTGTATCCATAATTAATATGCAATTAATAAGTGTTTATAAAAAACCCCATCAAGATACAGTATAAGAAAACTTCGTATGGAGAAATATGTTGTAGAGTTATAACTTTGAGGGCTGGGAAGGAGTGGCAATGCCATGGGGTCAGTTTATTTCTCAGAAGACTAACTGTGAAGCTAATATGTGCAGAAGACTCCCGGGGTTAGGTAGCAGGGAGGATGGATATCCCAATGGAGGAAGCATACTGCAGCCGTATTGCTTGAAAGGACATATGAGTGCCCACTACTCTTAACGTTCTGTCTGAGAAAGGCCTTTGCCTTACTTCTAAGGGCCAGAAAGAAATTCTGAGGCTAGTAGATAGGACCCTGAGTTACTCCAGTTTCTGCCCTGAAACACTATGGCTCCCTTTGGTCTTCCCTACCTTCCCCTTCCTCCCTCCTCTTCTGTATTGTCAGGCTTTCATGTAGCTCAGGGTGGCCTAGAACTTTCTACATAGCTGAGGAAGGTCTTGGCTTCCTGCTTCAACCTCCTAAGTCCTGTGTCGCCACAATCAGTTCATACAGGGTTAGGGATCCAGCCCAGGTCTTACAGTTCCATCAACCAGACTACATCCTCTGCTGCAATTCTTCTTATTTTGACTTACATCGAATGTTCTGTGTAAATAGAAGAGTGGTAGTTTCTGTTTCTCCACGATCGAATCTTCCCTCTCTTGAAAACTTGCTATTTTGCTATAAAAAGAACGTAGATGCTATATATTTAAATTGTTTTAGAAATTGTAATGATAATTGAGTTTTCTACTGTCACTCTCTCTGGCTTCCAATTCACAAGACCTTTATTTTCACACTCAGACGTTTGTAAAAGCTAGCTAGCGTAAGCCTGACTGTGGTCTGCCTATGGGTGCAGTGTGCCCACCAAAAGTTCATGAGCGGGAACATTGGTCCCCGGTGCGATGTGCTCAGGTGCTGGATCTTTAAGAGATGGAGCCTGGTGCAAGGTAATTAGGTCACGTGGTCACAATGAGCCACTAGAGAGATGCTGAATGGTGCGGAAGTATTATCTCACCTACACAGCGCAGCCGTGTGCCTATTTAAAACTTTGGAAGGTACAAAGGCACGAATGTACGTTGGAATGCAGTAACAGCACCAAACACTTTCTCTTAGTGATTACTGAAGGAAGGAACCAAGGCAAACATTTTGACTTTAGGACTAGAATGGGTGTCTTTGGAAACACCGTGATGTTATCTATTTTATGTCCTGCTTTGTGATTGTTGTTGTTGTTATTATTATTATTGTTATTGTTATTATTGTTCTGGTGTCTAGTATAGCTACTACTAGAAGTAAGCCTGCAAGGAATGTGCTTGGAATGCCACTGCATGCCCTTGCTTGTTCCTGTCCCTACTTCACTCATGCTCTCAAAGAGCATTGATGGACATATTATTATAGCAGATGATAGAATAAAGCATGGCGCAACAGCTCTCTGGTTATGTGAGTGTGTAAAATCTCATAGGAATTTGAATGAACACATGTCATAGGACCAATTTCCCCTAGCCCCAGATCTGACCATATTACTTTTATGATCATGTTTTAATTGTTCACAATGTATTTTTTAATGTTTAATACTGTGTCTGAGGATTATGAAAATGTTTTCTACTTTTTAATTGATGCCTGGGGGACTAATTGGTTTGTGAAAATGTTTTATGTGCATTTTATTGGTATGTATTACACATTGACCAGCTGTCTCAGGACAAGGTAAGATTCTTGGAAAGGTTTCTTGGTTTTTTTTTTTTTTTTTTTTTTTTTTGACCTACTTTTTCACATCTCAAAATGTATGTTTTGTCAAGGTCTTTGTCATTGTACTCTCCCTTGAGAGGCATCTGGGTACACGCACCAGGTTATATTTACGTGCTGTGGCTACAAGGGTTAATAAGTCATAACGGAGTCTAGGGAGGAAGTAGGCAAGAAGCTGGAAGACATACAAGAGACTTTGGGTTGTCAGCGGGGTGATGGTGCATTATGAAGCAAGACATTCCAGAGTCGGGGATCTCAAAGAATGACGTGAGTTTGCACCGGAAATGGGGGGCGGGCATAGAAGGGAAGACAGAGATGAGGGTTGGGTTTGGGGAAGAAGCTGGGTCTTCATTCTGAGGTGGCTGCTAAAAACCGTGATTGGTTGAACTAGGGGCAGTGCTTGCTTAGCATGTGTGAGCCCTAGGTTCAATTCCTACCACCACATAGAGAAAACCCCTGCAAAACCAGATCTGCAGTTACATACATACATACACACATGCATACATACATGCATACAGATAGACAGATCCACATATCTGTGTATGTATATATGGTTTATGCTTACATATAATATGTATATGGAAAATTGTTGATTTTGTTTAGAAATAAGCTAAAATTTGAGAGCACTTGAGAAAATGAATTTTTTTGTGACCAAAGAAGCCCCCTTTTTCTCCCCCGCTTTGTTCTTCGAGTTCTTCCGAAGCTAGTTTAAGTGAGGCAAGCCACTCCTTCCAAAATGCTTTGGTACTCTGGCCTAATTTCAAAGCGCTCCCCTTTCCCACCCAGTTAGTTAACTGCATTTCCACAGAGGGGGGAAAAATCTCCTCTGTCAACGTAACATCCCTGACAGGCGCCCTGCTGCTCGGCTCTTGTGTCTGACTGTGGCAGCTGTGAACGTATATGCCATTGATTGCTAATGTGTGATATGAATCCGAGTGAGCATGCCCACTAATTGGTTTGAGAGCTAGATATAGACAATGCTGTCTTATAGTGGGCTGTGTGGATCGGCCCAGTCACGGGGTTAATTCTGCTTGACAGAGCATCAGAGGCATCTTGAGAGTAATTACCAGGAGCAGTTTTCCCACAGCCAGACCAACGGCTTCAAAGGCTTCTGGATTTGCAGCCAGTGTTAACCTGTATCTGAAACGTAACGTTCCCACAAGGAACCGCTTCTCCTTCCCACGTATTAAGGGTTCAGGGCTACTCAGTTCACTTGCTGCGCGCTAAGGGTCTACTTGCTGTTAAGTAATTAAACATCTTTAATAATAAAAGGCATAATTATGGACTGGATTTTTTTTTTTTTAATCATTCCATAATACGATTGGAGAAAGTTTATCTGTGAAGGAAGATTGGCCATTTTGAAAACTGGAACCCCTTCTCTGAAAAACTAACTTTGAGAGGTTTTTTTTCTTACTGTGTAATCTGAATTAATGTATGCATTCAATTGAAAAGGTTGACATAAATATAGCTTTATATTAAGGAAATGATTTTATTTCTTGACCATTATATACAAATATATCATTACTGTACCTCTCTACCTCAGACCTATTTTTTTTACAATTTTAATTTTATTTATTTATTTATCTTTTTTTTTTTCTTTTGCTTTGCAGGTCAGAAACCAAATTTGACTCTGGTTCAGGTATGTTCACATTAATAGTGTTATTCTGAGTTGGTTTTATTTAATTTTTAACCTTGTTGTCTGAAAAGTGATTCAGTACATCAAGAGCCATTTTGATTTTAAACGACTGAGCAACCTCCCTTCAAAACATGAGCCCCACCTCACAGCAAGGCTATGGGATGCTTCCAGTCATGATCTGAGATCACTTTAGGATCTTTCATGGTTTTGAAATAGGCATTAAATGTTGGTGTCTGGAGACTTCCCTTTCAGAAACAGGGGAGGCTGTTACACTGGCTTATCCCCCTCAACAGAACATTACTTTGCAACTATACAAAGCATCTCAAATGTTTGAAGAGTCTCTACAAGTGATTTTGGGGGGTGTACACAATAGAGATGGAAACTCATCTGTAACATAGGCTTTTTTGTGTTTTATGGGGGGGGGCTGATAGCAAATTAAAATCACCATATTAAGCTATTGTTTTGTACCTATTGAGACAGAATTTGCATCTTACAGCAGCACTACCAATCACATTTGATGCTTTCTTATGATTAATCGTGGATGTAGTTGCATCATCCTTGGCATTGGCTGTATCTGTCACAACTTGCTGAGATCTGTGCACCGCGCAGTTCCTGGTAGTGTTTGCAACCAAAGCTGTTTCATGTTGGTACCAAGGAATTATACCCTTTGATGGATTGTTAATACATCAACATTAGTTTTCAATTCTAAGAGCTAATAATTTGCAGGGGGAAAAATTACATGATTTGTTGGATTTCAAAGTCACTTCATCTTAGTCTAAAATGTGTTTGCTGAGCACAGAGGAACCTGTGGCTGTGAAGTCCTTTTGATAAGTGTCACTGAGCTAGCCTGCCTTCCTTTCTGGTGAGACCTGTTGTCCTTGTGGGTGTGGCTTTAAGAGTTTCTCTAGTTTGGAGGGACTCTCATCTTCTTATCTCAGTGATGAAGTCTGTAGATGTGACCTAACCAGTTCACCTAATTTAAATGCTGGGGTTTCCACCACTCTTCCTAATCAGAATGTTCTGGGCTTCTCATCCTGTGTACCACTGATGTCACGGACAAACAGTTTTGATTAAAAAAAAAAAAAAAAAACACCAAAATATTAACAATATGGAGATGATGAAATGACATTGAAACAACTGTTTGACTATTGGCTCACCCAGGGTGAAACAAATTTATTAGTTGAAATCTCTAAATATAATAATAAATAAACTGATGGAGAGTAAACTCTTTACACAAAAACTACATGCCTTGAAAATTTCTCTGTCTGCCAGTCACCAAGTAATAAGGTAATAACTGTTGCTTATTGATTATATAGTTTAGTTCTCAAAAACAAGAACAAAAACAAAAACAAAAAGCCCCAGACAAGATAGTGTTAAGATATGAGACCCGACATGTGGCTTTTAAAAATGAAAAAGTTCAATAGCTTTGTTTTGAAAGTGAAGGCTGGGAATAGTGAATAAAACTGAAATATTAGGCTGTGATTGTCAAAGCCAGGTAATTTATGGCGAGATTCTTAATACAAATTAAAGTGTGCTGGTAAATCCATGCACAGAAGGCTAGTGTTTATCATGGAAATGGCTGTGACATCTGCACAGGCTCGTATTTGGCTCTTTTCACCTAAAACTTTTGTCCACAGCTCTTTCCTTCAATCTGTTTTTGAAAGCCTGTCTAAGACAACATCTGCATATCTTTGAAAACTACAGTTAGAGATGCCTCAGGTCTTTGGGAAATATGAATTAAAAGTTTATTTGTACTTTGATTTTGCATTCAACTATGGTGTAAATTTAGAAATTAAGAAATAAGTAGTTTTGTTTGTTTGTTTGTTTGCCCCCCCCTTCTGCGTTCACCATTGATGAGGAATCAGACAAAGGAAACGTGGTGTCAATTCGTCCGTATTTTATATCATGAAAATTTTGGTTATGAATAAGATAACATTGGAACAATTAAGTGTGAGGCTTTAATAGGTTCAGATTCTTTGTTCATTGAATACAGAACTGTGTAATGTTATACACAGTTTGAGAAAGTAAAATCTTTAACTGGAGAATGGTGCCACTCTGACTAAAGAAAAGTAGACATTAAATATGATGGTCAATGACCATTCTAAAGAATATAAATATGTGTGTGTGCATACATATTTTGTATAGACACACACATTGTTTGTTAAGCAAAGTGTTCAGTTCATGCACTGAGCTTATTACACAACATTTGTAGTTTGCACAGATGAGTTTCAGGCTGTTCAGTAAGATTTAGGAGGAAGAAAGGTTTTCATTGCCGTCACATAGTTAAAAAAAAATTAGTTGAGTACACATCGAATGATCAACCAAGGAAATATTCAAGTTTTGCTTATTAGTTTTATTTATTTTTTTATAAAAAAAAGCCCACTGACAACCTTCTGCTAATTTTTAGACATGTAGTATGTGTGTATGAGTGTGTATGTGTCTGTGTGTATGAGTGTGTGGGGGTATGTGTATGTATCTGTGTGTATGTGTGTGTGTGCGTGTGTGTCTGTGTGTATGAGTGTGTATGTGTCTGTGTGTATGAGTGTGTGGGGGTATGTGTATGTATCTGTGTGTATGTATCTGTGTGTGTGTGCGTGTGTGTGTGTGTCTGTGTGTATGAGTGTGTATGTGTCTGTGTGTATGAGTGTGTGGGGGTATGTGTATGTATCTGTGTGTGTGTGCGTGTGCGTGTGTGTCTGTGTGTATGAGTGTGTATGTGTCTGTGTGTATGAGTGTGTGGGGGTATGTGTATGTATCTGTGTGTATGTGCGTGTGTATGTGCATGAGTGTGTGTGTGTGCGTGTGCATAGGTCAGGGCATGAGTTCTGGAGTCTTCATGTTTGTAAGGCAAGAACTTTACTGTCTGAACCATCTTCTTAGCTGCTTAAGTTAATTTTTTAAAGTTAAGAATTTATTTAATTTATGTGCATGTGTGCCTGTATGAAATTATGTACACCATAGGTGTGCAGTGCCCCTAGAGGCCAGAAGAGGGTGTAGGGTCTCCCAGAACTAGAGTTACAGGCAGTTGAGAGCTACTGCGCTGGTGCTGGGACCCAAACCTGGGTCCTTTGCAAGGATAGTAAATGCTCTTAAACCACTAAGCCATTTCTCCAGCCCCTAAAATTAAAGTTTTTATACTGAAAGCTTTAATCACACTGAAAAGTAGGGGGTGTAGTATTCTTCAGAGAGCACCACATAACTATCATCTAAATTTCACTATTATGAATAATTTCCCATTAATTTTGCTTTTTCTCCTCACAGTATTTTAAGGGACAGTACACTTTATATGGTATTTAAAGTCTGACAATTGCTGATCGCTTTGCCCTACTGAATGGGGGTAACTGAGTTTTCAGGACTTTTACCTGTTGTAGATGTTTGGGCCACACATGGATTAGGAATCAGAGGGTCGCTTCACTTCTGTGTTCACGCTTAGGTAGAGTGAAATTCTGCTTCTGGCAAGTCATCTAATGAGGAAACCCCGCAGCCGGAGCAGAGGCTCTGATTTCATCCAGATCTGAGAGTCACAGAAACGTCCTGCCTCATGATGACTCTGGACGAGATTTGAGCTCCCGCTTGTCTCTGTGATTTCTAAGCCCTGGGTTTTTACAGTGACTTAAACAAAACAAAACAAAACCAGAAAACAACATGTTGATTTATGACTCAACAACCTGAAGTTTGGTTTCGCCAGTTGAGAAGAGTGAGCCTGTCTTCTTCCTTTCAAAAGAAACTTGATTTTATGTTAACACAAGTTCCTAGTTGATGTCTCTTGCCCAAGAGCTTGCAGACCTTACTAAGAGTGTAAAACAGACTTCCTTTTGTATTCAGAAGAAGCGAGGAGCTGTGCATGCCGCTGCACCACCCAAGCAGGGAAGTTAGTTGATGCTGGAGGAAGCAGGCCATCCAGCTTACCGCAGTGACAAACATGAAAGTCGTATATCACGTCTCAGGAGAGACAGGCTTTTGAAGGGCAGGGGGCTGTGGAGCATTTTGCACGATAGGCTGTATAAACAGAGCCCTGGAGGTCAGTGCATGGATGCAAACCAATTAAATAAAGGACTCTGGCTTTGCTTTCCCTCAGCTGGATGGGGAGGCCCAGAAACCAACAGGGACAGAGTTGAAGTGTGAGCTTTGCAGGAGTAAAGCTTTGGCACCTTTGGAAAATTCATTAACTCTTTCAGGCCACAAACCAAAGCAACCTTTCTATACAAAGGCTCCTAGAGAGTTAGAAGTAAAATGGGAAGCATGTGCTTTTGTGGCCGTTCTGAGTCAACCCCTTAGCAGAAGTGTCAGTGAATGGAATGGAGAAAAACTAGGATCAGTGGCTGAACAAGACCTGGGACAGTGAGGTCTCAGGACATGCGCATCATCCAAGCTCTTGCAGAACACCTGTAAAAACGGGGGGGGGGGGGGAGGGTTATTCTTTTTCAAATCCTAGGGATAATGCAAAGATATAGTTTGAGTTGACTAATCAGCAATGCAGTGGGATACTGTTATTCCGATGCTTACAAATGAATAACTCTCTGCTAAAGACTGCTTATGGGCTTATGCTGTACTTTTCAAAATCTCGGGCAATGTTTGGGCGAAAAGAGGAATGCTAAGTTAAAAGGTGGAGAGTTTCATGGCCTGCAAGCATTCCAAACAGAGTTTCTTGGGGTGGCTACACATCCCAAGGAAACGGGCTCATAGAACACAGCGTCTCAAAGGCGTACGATTTCACGGAAGCAAATTATGGAGGATTAAGAAACCTAATGAGCATGGTTTCGTGTACAGAGCAGAGGCGAGGAGCACTCTGTTAAATAAAGACCGAGTGTGGAAGGCTAGGAGGTCCTGAGCGATGCAATAATAGAAGGCGCAAAAGAATATAATTATCCCAAAGGGTGGAAAAAAAAAAATCCAAGCAACAAAAAGCAGCTAGTGTCACTTTTATGATCTGTAGTTAAAAGGAATCTCCTCCACAGTAGGGTAAGGAAATCAAAGAATGTAATCAACAGATGCCTAGAGGC